TTCAGACGTCTCCTCTAGTCGCAGGAGGAGTTTGTGGGGAGACGGCTAAAATTCAGGCTAACTGATAACAGTTAGAAACTACTGCTGCGCTACCACTGCCACTGCAACTATTCACGGTGAATCTGAATATTTAATTTAATTATCCAAGTCCAAAGCGACAAGCCCCTAAGCTCTTGTCGCAAAGCCGTAAATGGAAAACCGTTAAACCACATGGCAAACCTTTACAAGAGGTGGCTGTGTGACGAAAGCCTGAAAACCCTTTCCTCGCGACCCATTTTAATGTATTTTGAATTAAGAAGCAAGCCTTCACTCATTAGGGTGACCAGGGTGAGTAGAATGACTGGGGACTGTCATTTGAATGGACCCTTACTCGCCCACTGCAAAAAATTCATTGCAACAAAATATTGTTTTCTCATACTCGGAGATGATACCAGTTTCTTTTTCTTTCTTTCTTTCTTGGTTTGTTTCTTTATTTTTCGTTTTTATGTTATGTTATGTTATTTATCTTGTTATTATAAATTTTTGCAAAAATTGTTTTCTATCTATTTTTCCTTTTATTATTTATTATTATTATTATTATTATTATTATTTAGTTAATTAATCATTTTTTCATAAAAAAATATTTTAATTTTTTCATGTTCCGGGATGTTCCGGGATGTTCCGGAATGTTCCGGAATGTTCCGGGATGTTCCATGTTCCGGGTTTTATCGACGGCCAAATACTAGGTGGACCACATCCTGAACTCCCGCGAAAATCGTAAGAGAGGAGCTAAGGAGACTAAAGCCGGAAAAAACAACAGGAGTCTTGAGAAACGTCCTTATCCTATTCTGTTTGGGTTCATACTTTCAAGGAAGCGCTGATCAAGAATCATACCTAAGGAATGAAAACTTCTCGCTGTTTCCAGTGAAAGCATGCAAAGAGTGACAACAGTGGTACGCGGTTGTTCTGTGAAATGTAACGTAATCTTTGCCGTTTGGATTTTTGCTGTCGTTGATCTGTTCTCTCGTGTGGATACTTCACATTTCCAATATCTGGGAACACCATGTTAAGGTACGAACAACAAACACAACACAACATTGTTTTGTACGCTAAAATTTGACTTCCTGGACGTAAAAAATTTTGAATTTTAAGACTTTTTTAATTAGTGCTTTGCCCTTTGACAACGTGCACTTGGCAGGAGTTGACAGCTTAAATCTGCCTTTCCCATGTTAGCAAATGGTTTTAAATTATATCAGATCGCTGGATAAACACGTCTTGGTTTATGAAAACTGATAACATCAAACCACTGTTGCTCAAACTGCTTTCTTATAGTATTTTTCCGAGTTTTTAGCGTCGCGTCGCTGAGCGAGGAAAGCTCAAATTTCAGAAAAGTACTACTTGTATTTTTTGGCGTCAAAAATTTTCTTTTAAGTTGCCCATAGTTTTGAAAACAGAGTTTGAAAGAAGAGATAACGCTCTTTAACGTGGTATAAGACTCTTTACTGAAATCGAGGTACCAGCCGACGATTTTGGACATTGAAATTTGCCATTTTTTCATCGAACGGAAACGTTCAAAATATTGATAATAATGAAAAATCTCCAAAATATTACATTTTCGTTGAAACTGAGTAAATAACCCCTTAAAATGTGTAGAATTATGTACTTTTCTGAATAAGTTATTTGCTGCTCACATTACAATTGATTTGATATTGAAAACGATTTTTTCGTGACACACCGTCTCGGGCCTGTTCAGTTCAGTTCAGTTCAGTTCATTTTTATTTAGCCAAAATACAGTACAATACAAGAATACATATAGGAATTGTAAGGTTGCAAGGGAGCCCAGAGGAAACCAGAAGGCTTTATGAAGCCTGGGCTCCCCAGTCTGAAAGAAATAAGCAAAATAAAATGATATTCGCGGAGTGATACGTTAAAAATAGGAACCAAACAGAGACTGAGTTAAGTTATAAATTCAGAAACAAGATACAAAAAAAAATTTAACTCTGGATTGGAACAGAATACTTTCCTTTGTTAGTACGGCAGAAAGGAGTATAAAATTGGTTTGAACTACGCGTTCATTGTTTAGGGCCGCCATGTTGTTTTCATCAAGTCGAAGTGCATCACTTTAATCGTCCAAAACTCAGCAATAATTCATTGATTCGAGATCAAAAATCCGACAAACACATCGCAAACGGATACAAAAAGCTATTTCATGCCTTTAAACGCGAGGCTGTACAATTTTTTGTGGTAAAAAACCTTGCCGTAAATCACTTACCGCTGGAAGCCCTTCCTGCGGTTCAAACGTGAACTGCGAACACGTGACCGCAAGGCCTTGGTCACGTGACATTTTGCGGTTTGCGGTTTGCCGTTTCCCACGAAAAACCTGATGCTAAAGGTCCCTATTTACTGACATCCGCTCTTAAAATTTTGCTACTATGAAATCGCGGAGAATATAGGGCTCGTCAAAGTGACACTGTGCCACCACTCTTTACTATCACTGAGACAATGTGACACTATTCCACCACATTTTACTAACACTGTGAAACTGTGCCACTGTTCCACTGTTCCGCGACTCTTTGCTATCACCGTGGCACTTTGCCATTGTTTCATTACTCTTTACTATCAGTGTGACACTCTACTATTGTTCCACTGTTCCACCACCCTTTACAATCACTGTGACACTCTACTATCGTTCCACTGTTCCACCAAACTTTAGTGTCACTGTACTATTGTTCCACTGTTCCACCAATCTTTATTATCAGTGAGACAATCACTGTGACACTCTACTATCGTTCCTCTGTTCCACCACACTTTACTATCACTGTGACACTCTACTATTGTTCCACTGTTCCACCACTCTTTACTATCACTGTGACATTCTACTATCGTTCCACTGTTCTACCACACTTTACTATCACTGTGTTCACTGTGACACTACATTACTATTCCTTTATTTGATACTACTACTCTAGCGTCAAAACACTCCGTTTGTTTCGTGTTATGAAAATTGGCGAATTAGTGCTGTATTCATGGTGTGTGAACGTTACTAAGTTGTTGATTGCGGTAACCCAAGCGCAAGCCGTAACCGTGGAATGGTGGGTGTGTGCAATAGTCCTAAACACGATTGCCTCAAGTCATGATTTAAGAATTAATGCCGTTGAGAGTGAAATGGCATCTTTATAAACTGTGTCGATGTATGCAACAATTTATTGGCTTTGGAACTGGTGCACTTAAAATATAGTGCTCATGGTTTTAAAATAAAATGAAAATAATCTTGATATATGAACCCTTTGCCTGAGTTATTACAATTGAAATCAAAATAATATGACTCGGGATTTTGGTCGAAGTAATCTGAGTTTGTAAAGTTTACGACTCATGTGACCAGACACTCGATATTTTCAGTAAATTTTATTTATTCAATGCTTGGTTAAACGAGTCATCTATAAAAAAAATATGATTACGCCTACAAATCACCACTCTAGCAAACAAGAAATCTCCTTTCCAGGGTATCTCTTGTCCTTCATACACGTCAGAAAAGGCTCTTAACAGCAGTGCTGGTGAGAGTGCAAGACTATCCAAAATTGCAAAGGGGAACACAATGAATTTTCTTTCTCATTACATTTGGTCAATTACGGTGGATTTCCATTATAGAATTATTACGTGCATACGCACGTAAATTTCTATTCAGTTGACTATTCTGGGTTGCATTTTAGGACACAAACGGAGGGAGAAAGAAATTTTTAGCAAAGATTAAAATATCTATCAGAGCCATTGTCACTCAAGGTCTGGTCGTTCATTGCTTTCCCAGTAATCATGATAGTAACACTATGCCGTATTTACTCGAAAGAGCACCGCACTCGAATAGGTTCTTGGACCCGTGGCTCGAAAGTCTTGTTAATTACTGGGCAAGAAAAGCTGTTTCATTTAAAAGTCAAGATCGAGGTTTCAACAGTCTCGCAGATAACTAGCACCTTTCGCAGGACAGGATCGACTGAGTTTTACTTGTGTACTATAGCACTTGCGCTTTTATCGTTTATGTTAATTTCAATATTTGGCTTTGGGGGCCTGCAAAGTTTCCGGGACTTTGGAGAAATGGGCCCCTTTTCTGTCGCTATCCTAATTATTTGGGTGCAAAAATGACCATTTTTCAATCTTTAGAAAAATATTTTTTCTTTTGTGTCCTAAATGTAACCCGACATGTCAACTGAGGGCGCTTTTAATGGTCCCATTCAAAAATATTTCAATAGCAAAGAGAAAGATGAAGATTGTGAATGGATCAGGGGCACCCAACGACTGTTTTGTGTGAAATATCTGTTCAGAGAAGCAAAAATTGCCTAGAATTTTCTATAGCTTGAGGAAGGCTAAAAATGTCTAGGTGACCGTTCCATTCATGTACACAATTTTCGATGCTTATCTAGTAAATTCCCTACGATTTTCTGAAGTTTCATTTTTCCCATTTCACTCTCCGGGTTATGTTATTTTTCGTAGAAGAAGGAAACCTAAAATTTTCGGAATCGAAAATGCAATGCAGAAAGGAATCAGAAAAACTATCACTTTCGGAAAACTTTAAATTGCTGCTAAAACTTTCGGGAAAATAATACTGAAGCCCTCGTAACTTCGAAAAGACTCAAGTTACCCTTGAATGACCGAACAGATATAAATTTCTTAGCGCCACTTAGAATACATTTCTAGAGATCTTAAAGCACTCTGGATAGCCTAAAAAGTGTTTTCAAAGTAATTAGGGGGAAACCGTCGTTGGGTGCCCCTGATGGATAACTTTTGTTTAAACTTCTCTTATCAGGGTTCATTCCAGACGATATTACGTGCTTTTATGAAATTTGTCTCTAAATCACCCAAATATATGGTTTAACCACATGTATGAACTATTTGGAGGATTTAAAACGCGAAGGACTATTAACTAGCGAAAGGTTTGTAATTAGAGGGTATCAAAACAAACACAAACACGCACTTTGCAAAGCATACTGCGACTTTTAATGTTATCGTTCCATTACCATTACAATAATCGACCTCCTAGTAATCTGTAGAACTGGCTGGAAGCGATAATGTTTATCTTAGCAAAATGGATGTTTAGTCTCGGCATTTAGGCCTGAGCCTTAGGGACTTCTTCAATGAAGATCCGGGACACAGAGTACCAACCAGTGTAGGCGTCGCCGGGTGATCCCGCTCGACAATTACCAACCCTGAATCCAACGCGCACCTTTCCTTTGTGGATGTTGTTGCAGTGCCCTTCAATATGGCGAACGCGGTGAAGATCTTGAGTGTTGCCTTGCCACATGTACACAATACCGTCAATAGGTAAGGGAGCTGAACATTCTGCGCCGTTGAAAGTGAAGTACCAGCGTTTGCAACAGGATGTACACTTGTGGTTTCTAAGGGCACCGGTCCAGGCCACATGAAGAGCGGTGTCAGAGAAGTTCTTTGTGAAGACACAGTCCTAAATATGTCAGAAATAAATATAGAATGGTTAAATCGATTTGGTATCATAAGATAAAAGCAGAAAAGATAAATGGGGACCAAGCAATTTAGAAGAAAATAAGAGTTCTTGTAACTTTACCTTTATTAAACCGTTTTGTTCACCACTGTGAATGTCCTTCCATGCGCACTCTTTCCAGTTCTTAAAAGGCATCAGACCTGGGTTCCCAGGATGTCCACTTTTTCCACGCTCTCCTTTTGGACCTGGTGGGCCCTGTACACCAGGATCTCCTTTAGCACCATCTTTTCCATTTACTCCAGCAGGACCCATTACTCCAGGAGGTCCCTGGGGCCCAATCTTTCCCGGGCTTCCTTGGTCACCTTTAGCTCCTTCTCGGCCATCACGTCCGTCACGGCCTGGTAACCCTGGAGAACCGGGCTTGCCATGCATGCCGGGAACCCCACCATACCAGAATGGAGGTGATTGCTTTATTAAGGAACAAGAAGAGACGGAAAATATTAATTTATGTTTGAGCAAAGAAACATTTAGCATCTCAGTTTGTTTCCTCACGCACTCCAAAGTCATTTATGTACCAATTTTTCTTTATTGCTGGCTGTATATATTTCGTTTTTTTTTGTTTTTATTTTTATAATTGTCCTTCCCTTTTTTCTTTTTCAAACCCTAACCGAAGCTGCAATCTCATAATGATTTTCACTTACAAGTGAAGGAGATGTGATATTTTCTTTCAGGTAGAGACTAGATAAAGATTCTCTGAAAAATATTACTTTCTAGGTTGTGCAAAGTGCAAGGTCCTCAGTGGTAATGAATTTGGTCGTTATCATTTATTTCAGTTTATAACAGTTGTTGTCCTACACAGAAATTAAGCTACTTATTGGTGGCTCACCACATTATTTGAAGGTTGTTTGGTTTTGTTGTCAGCCAAAGCTGTAAAGGCTAGGAATGACGCTGCAGCAAAAAAAGACAGGAATGGAAGAGCAACTTTACACGTCAAACTCATCGCGTCCTCTTTTGACGGATTTTCTGAAGACAAAATTAAAAGTTCAAGATTAGAGCGTTAGAAAAATCAAGAAATTGCTACCAATCTTTCGAACGTCTCGTTTTTGAAGTTTTATATCTCCCAAAGAATAAGCCTTGACAACTTAATCGTTTTCGTTAAATGTGCCAAGCGTTTTATGATTATTTTATCAGTACGTAGTTAGTGCTAAATATTTTACGGTTCCATTCGGAGGTATTCCGTTCTTTTTCGTTTTTTTCCGAGTTGAGTAGTTGATGTGTCACTAGTTGGAAACTCACAGGAATACTTCTTTTTTTTCAAACCACCCTCTACTTGGAACGAATTTTAAAACGAGTGATTTCTATCAACAACTTTCAAGATTGCGTGTTCCTCTCAAATTTTGAACCGAAAAGTGCACCTTCTGTGGATTCATTACGAGTTAAGCGAGGCTTGGAATACTTGCCTAGCTTTAAAACTATTTTCTATCTTTGGTATCCTCAGATGAAATTTCTGTTGGAAAGAAGCAAAAGGAAGGCGACCCACCGAAGCAGAGAAAACGACGTTACCTGTAGACTCTTTTCCTCTTGTCGTGAGTCAGTAACATAGGCCAGGTTGGTTTAAGCAGGGCCTTTTCTTCCTTTCTGTTGATTCTTTGTTCTTGTTTTGGCAAGTTCTTGTTTACCGTGAATTGAACTGTTAATGAACATTAAATATTTATAAGATTTCTTTCTCCAATAGTTTTAAGTTCCTGTTTGCTGTACCAAGGTTAGCATGAAGTTTATTTTAGGATAGATATCAGGGGCGTAGCACGTTGAAGGTGTACGCACCAGTGGAACACAACTTGTAGCAGGTCTCGGGTCATGCTTCCCGATATAATTCTTAAATTTAGGGTCTCGAAAATGCTACTTCCAGCGTTTTCCGCAGGAAATTTTCAGCAAATTAATACGCAGGAAAACGCAGGAGTGACAGTGTAGCTGTTTATTTTATTCATCTCAGGTGTTGTCGGTAAGGTACAGTTTTCACGGGAAAAAAAGGCCAGTGACGCAATCAGAATTATGGAATAACAAAAAGATAAAGGAAATACTAACACAAAGAGACCAATAAAGTGCGAAAAATGTATCAGTCGTCCCTATTCAATGCCGGGTAAAAAATGCTTTTTCAGAAAATAAAAAAATATTTTTTTCCATATCGGCAAACGGTACATGTACGCACAAGCTCATGTGCGTATTTGGACGCTAAGTTCCTGATATGTGTTGACCACATGCAACGGATTCAAAGATAAAAACCTTTACACAAACATTTGAACATTTTTCATTATTAAGTTAGAAATAATTGTTTTCTCACTCAGCTTTAGTTTTCTTTTACAGGAAGAGGGTTTTTGAACTTAATGCAAGCTTGTAGGAACCATATAAATATTATTAGTTTACCCTATCCATGTTCTATTGAGTGGAATGATAAAAATGAATCCGACTTGATCGTATAGAGCAACGGAACCTTAATCGTAGTATATCTGTTTTCTACATCCTACATCATAAAATTGAGGATGTATCCATTTTCATTAGAAAACTCTTTGGATTGAAGAATTTCTTAAAACTATTGACGGAATTCGGATTTTTTTTCCAGCCGCCTGTGTCACTGATCATGACTGAATAAAATCTCTCGTCTCAAATAAAGTCTGGTTTCTTAAAGCACATTATAAAAAATTGTTTAAGTAAAAGGTTGTATGACCAACAACCCAAACTGTCGTTCTCGATTATACTGATTACGGCTCTGTTGTTTGCTCGACATACATTGTATCTGCCACACGCGTCATTTTTTCTATCGCAAACTTCTCAATTGACTTTAATAGTATTCAGCCATTGAATTAACACGAAGGCTTTCCTTTACTTTACGAGTTCAATAAACTCGTGAGACTGAAAATTTAGAAAACGGAACAGCTTTACAGCATTACAAATATCATTTTTCTTCCGCATGAAGTTTTGCTTTGATCTTCGATCTTCGGCTTCTTTCCTCCTGAAAGGTCGCACCATTCACTGAACTGTTGCAACAGTTTGTTTATTTTAGTAACGATTACCATGTGGAATATTCTTATACGCATATCTTTGGGGCGCAAAATTTGCGATGGGGAGACTTGCTAAGAGCGCCCTACTCTTGCTACAATATGTTTTACCCTTTTTTGAACCCTTATAACGGACTGTTTTAAAAAATGCTGTAAAATCTTGGTTTCTCGAACCTCTATATTATTTGAATTCTGACCTCCCTTAACAAGACAAACTCGGTTATTCTGCAGTCTGTCGAACAACCCGATAATTGAAACGAATTTCTTTACTATTCGCCCGGAGGATGGAAGAATCGGGGTCTTTGACCGGATCGTCGCCATTTAGGTAAAATGAAATCATTACCACTTATACTCTTAGATAAACTTCAATGCGCGTTCTAGAAGATTTTAAAGCAGGAATTCTTATCTGTGTAGAATAATTAGCGTTCCTCTCACCGAACTGTTTTAGTTAATATTTGCGGTTGATCGTTGAATTTGACTTATGTTGACGCTTTGTTCTTAACCATTGAAATTGTTCGCCAATAAATAGACGGAAGTGTAATAAATTCATTTAATGGTGGAATTATTTTATCTATCAGGTATCCGCATTGTATATGCCAACTGGCCATCAAGATAAAACCTAAGGAAAATCCCCAGAGAGGCTGTCATTAATGCATTGCTTTCCTTGTGGGTGGATTGAGAAACTGTAAATACCTATGATAGGCTTAGTCCGACAGCCGATTTAAAACCACAATTGCGACTTGAGGAAATTATAAATTATACACTGACCTTACATGCAGCACAGTTTATCACTCTCCATTATACTCATTTTTCCAGGCTCCATTTTATCACCTTATTTGATTCATTCTTCACGCTTTAATGCGACTAAATGAGTGTTTCTCAACGTCCGAGAGTCACGCTCTCATCTCATAATAATTGATCACCGTAAAAGCCTACTTTTCGCTTTTGTTTACACTGGCAATAAAGAGACGTTGAATTTCACTGTTAAAATGGAACTGAGACTTTTACGGTGCAACGAAATCTTGAAGTATTGTTTTCACATTTTTCAACCGCTATAGTCAAAGCGCCGTTTGTAACAAACAGGAGAAATATAGTGATAAATAATTCATTTTAATGCGAGTTAAAATTCTTGTAGTGTTTATGGTCAATTGTTCGCCTTGCGAAGACTGTAATATTGTATGATTGTAATTATGATAAATTCACGATGCCCGAATATTAGCCAGTGATGGCCTGATGATGTTGGACGACTTTTCATGGAGTGCAGCATTGTTTTAGTAAAGGTTTAATGTCATAAATCGCTGTGTAAGCCTGCGAGCAAGCACTTCCTTTTCAGGGATATCGTAAATAGTATGCGCGAGCGGCAATGCGTGTTCTTTCGCGGCTCGTTTCGTTCGTCACTCGAAATGGAGGGCTTTTTCGCGGGCAAATCTTTGCATCTAGCGGAAACGATTATAATAAAATAAGCGTTTTACAACTTCCACATCAAGCGTGTGAACTTTAATTCTTAAATTCATTTTTGCATTTAGTTGAACCAAATTGTCGAGTAGTAGACGGAAAAACACTAAGACAATAGGATTTTGTATTACATTGAGGAGGCACGCTGTTTTTTTCAAAGACTGAACTGCTGTTGCATTCTGCGGAAAACGAAGCAAACTCAGGCACTGAAAAAAATTCAGTCTTACGAATTTTCTTTGGCAAATGATTTGCTTGATTCTGTGTTCAGATATTTGGTCTGAATAATAAACTCACTTTTTCCTAGCTATTTCTAATAAAAGACCAGCCCAAGTTTCATAGAAAAACTGTTTTAAATCAAAGCCTTACTTATGAATGAAGCCGCCACAACGATTCCACCTGGGTTAGTAGGTAAGATCGCAAAAAACCGCCCGCTCCCGGAACCAATCTTGATTTTAGAATTTGGAAAATACCGCCCCCTTGCAAACTGAGAAAAAAGTATAAGTATATATCTGGCCGACTTTTTTTTTTTTTTTTTACTTCTGGTGAAATACGCAGAAAGTCAGGTCCACCGATGTAAGCAAGAAAACATTTATTTTAAAGCATCCCTCTTTTTTAGTTTGGTATCATCAATTTTGAAGCTAACAGCTAGTAAAAAGTGTCATTTTCCTCAGCATACACCGGCAAACTATTACTGTGAAAAAGGATCTAAAACGTTTGAAGGCAATAGCCCACAGATGTACCATCTTTTAAGGCAAACTCTGAGCTTTAGGAACTTATTCAATGAAGATCCGGGACACACACTGCCAGCCCGTGAAGGTATAGCCTCTTCCAGGTTCTCAGATAATGGAGGAAAACGCAAAAGTAAAAGGTACGCGAAAAGTTAGCGAGGCGGGAAAAAGGAAAAATGAAGGAGGCTCCGCCGCCTCTGCTCTCCCCAGTTTCCTCCCGTTATATTTTCGTGTTCGCACTTTCTCAATTCAGCGGACCCAGCTATCTCGGAGCCTGGAACACGCTAGTGAAGGCATCACCAGCGACTCCATGTTGACAATTGTCAACCCAGAATCCGATGCGCACCTTTCCTTTGTGAATGTTGTTACAATGCCCCTCAATATGGCGAACGCGGGGAAGATCTTGAGTGTTGCCCTGCCACATGTGCACAATACCGTGAATGGCCATTGAGAGTGAAATACCGTCTTTTGCAACAGGATGTGCACTTATAGACTCTAAAGGCACCGGTCCAGGAAACACGAAGAGCAGTGTTAGAAAAGTTTTTATAAAAGACGCAGTCCTACATCCACAATGAAAGTCAAGAAAACAACAAATAAGGAAATGAGGTAACGACAGCGATAGGAGTAGTGTGATTCTAGTGATTCTCTTATTGTTGTCTTATTACAAATAACTGATAAAATGAGTTATAAGAGTAGTTAGACTATAAAGTATGGAACCTCCCGGCTTAAGTTTACAATCCTCTTTTAACATTACACAACAACCTTTCTGTTACGTAACCCTGATGAAATTGTAGTGATTCGAACGAAATCATGCGATTTGTTTGAAATTGTTGCTTTGAGTTTTGGAATTTTGTTTGGTAAAAAAAAAGCTTTTTGCTAATATGGAAGTTTTCTATCACTAAACAATAAATGATAATGACAATTCTTGTCTACTCTGCTTTATAACTGCCGTAATTCCGCACCATTTTGGTTTTCGAAGAGACGTGAAACACGCGATCGATGCCAATGATAGACAAGTTCAACGTTTCAAAACAAAGATAAGCGGCCGCTATGTATATATCGATCGCGACTGTATCGGATGAAAATGAATGGTCAAAATTGAAGAAAGGTGGACGTCATTGGTATGGGAAAGCAACTGGGAGAATTGGACTCTGAATAAACTGCAAATGCGGATAAACAGAACAAAAAGCGAATAGGTATTGTTTCAACAAAAGTAAAATTGGCCAGGCCTCGGTTTAGTTGTTTAAAGGTTGGATAGCGCTATCGACCGGATAATTCACTATCCAGCGGATAAGTTGTACAAAAACCAATTATTGTGTTATCTACTGGATAATGATCTAGCCCGTGGACAGCGTTATCCAACATTTGAACAACTTTAGCCGGGAGATTAATTTTTAACTTTTACAACTCCTTGTGGTATCAAAGTTAAGGTCCAATAAATCGTGCACCGAATGCTTCTGAGTATAAAGCAAAGCATTTGACGCCAATTCCTTTTTTATGGTCTGGTGTTCCATGTGTTATTCAAGTGATAAAATGAAGAGGGATTTGAATACAGATACAATTTAACCGTACCTTTATCAGACCTTAATCCCTGTTATCATCCAAGTTTTTCCAAGCACACTCCGTCCAGTTCCTGATAGCCAGCATTCCACTTGATACAGACTCCCCCTTGGGACCGGGGGCACCAGGTTCCTGCCGATTGCACCGGTAGGGCCAGGAGGTCCCTGGGGGTCCAGTATTTCCTAGCATTCCTTGGTCTCCTTTCTCCCCGTGATGGCCATCTTTTCCATCACGGCCTGTTATCTAAGGTGTAGCTGGTATACCGGGCACTCA